AGGCACTGTGCAGTTGTGATCGATATGATATTTTCGAATTCCATTTTTCAGTTTCATTCGAATTCCATTTGAGTTGTCATTTTTGTTTTTGTTTTTTGCACTTCTTGTCTGACACGCGATCACGTGTAAAGTCGGTGTACCGAGGAAGAACGGTATTTTCGTCATTCGTGAGACATAAGGTAAACGTAGACGTTTTTGGACGGTCGCCTAAAGTACACACACGTTCTAAAAACAAGACATTAAAGGTTCTCTATTATGTTCTCGATATATATTCCCAATGCTCGTCTGTCGGTCACCCTCGACCCTGTTAATGGCCTGAAATAGTAATTTAATTACTATACAGTCGAAAAACGTTAGTAAGTGTCTGTCTACTTCACTCTTAACTAACTTGCCCCACAGTAGAAAATTCTAGTTTTGCCAGAATTCATTGTGCTATCCACATTGATACGGGTCCTACATTGATACTTGACCCAAAAAAATATGCCTTAACGTTTGTCTTAATGTCTCCTTACAGGGTTTGTTGATGTATATAAGTTACCTTGACACTTACTTTTCTACCATAAACTAGTTACCTCTTAATTGCTTCATAATTAGTTGTTTAATTCTTATTGCTTTGCCGGCACCGCCTTATTCATTCGTTTTCCTTATTATACTGGTTAACTTGTATCCTAAGTTAGTTCCTAAAAAACATACAAATTATGATCGAAATATTATCATGTTATCGGTACAGACCTATTATACAATGATATTGTTCAAAGACATTGTATGTTTAATGGAAATATTATTTAGGTAAGGTTATTACACAAGTTATGTTAGACCGTTGTTACCAGTTTTGAATGGTATCACCCCTATCAGTGTTTTTTTTTAAATGCATGAATTTACTTAGAAGCCGTAATATTTAGCAAGGTATATTGTGAGAAAATAAAGGCAGTCCTTGTCAGTTTGTGATATATTCGATATAGTAAAAAATTAGAAATTTTAAATTTGAGATGAGTTTTATTTTCGAAAAATATTTAACAGTGATCAAATTATGGGCTCATCTAAATTTTAGCTAGTATATTTTAAGAGATATTCCATTGTCGGTATTACCCACTGACTGGTATTCCCCCGTTCTCGCCTACATTGTTTTTGAACGGAAATCAGAAATAAATATTCATTAAATAATCCACTTTACTGTGTAAAATCAGTGATGGCATGGCAATAAATTAAAAAAATCAAAACAATCAGCCGGTTTCACCAACATTTGTTAAGTGTTTAACATATTGTTAATTATATTTAACCACTAGTTAGTGAAAATTGGGTTTCATCGAGATTTGTTAGCCTTAACACATTGTTAAATTAATCACCCGAAATCGGCATATTAAAATGTATTGTAGTACTTATATACAATATTTATATTATTGTAGTTCAGAAATTGTTTCATAATTTTTGTTGACTGAATATACTAGTAATATATAATGATGAATTACACATTTGATGAGGAATTTCTTTATATTGAGTGTCTAGAGAACAATAGAAATTACCACTTTGATAACCCTTCATTAGGTAAGCAGAAGTTATTTTATGTAGGTTAGGTAAAAAGGCACAGACTTGCATTATAGGATCAAAGATCATAATTTATTGTATTTTGTAATTAAGATATTATTATTATGACTTACCTGTTCTGACAATGGAAATAATTCTTATCACTACCTAATTTTTTTTTAGGCCTTCAAAATAGAAAAAATGATTTTAATGACCAAACATTTTTAGTAAGGCATAGACTGTCTAAACAATAAGTTAAACAATTATGTATAAATTATTTATATAAACCGAAACGTTAAAAGAAAGTAAAATAAAATGCCAAATAATAACAAACAAACAAATTAAATAATACAATCACTTATCAGTTACCTATCACATATCTTAATAACCAATGAGAACGTTGGAATCGAGGTAACCGCTTTGGTAACCCAACTAACGTTTTGTTAACTTGACAAATAGAATTTAACAATAATAATGTTACGGTAAAACTCATTTCTTTTAAGCAGATGTTAAATTTAAATGAACTGTTAACTATCATTGTGTTAAGAGTGTATTTAACAATAGTTTGTGAAACCGGCTGTACATGTAATAATGTTGAACAGAACAATTAATATAAACGAGGCGAATTCATGTTAAATAGTAAAAATGTATTGTACTCTGCGATTAATGTAGATGGTAAAATAAAATATTATGCTTTTTTATTAAACGTTTTTTTTTTTTTTGTTATTTGAAAGACACTTAATTTTTTACTACTCTCCACCTGTCGTCGCCGTTACCTGTTAAGACACGACACTATACTTAGCATTAGTCATTAAGTGTGACGCAGAGGTGGTGCTGCCGTCGAGCGTTAAGTGTTATTGGCGACACGGTAAATTATCATGGCCCGTTTTAAGAGGCTATCCCCAGAAATGGAGGGTGACCCAAGGGTGGTCGAAGGGCGGTGGTGGTGGTGGACAATTTGTATTGCGGTTGTTTGCCATTAGCAAATAAGGTGGGCAAACGAGTTGTGAGAAATATGCACTTAGACACGTTCGCGCACCTGTTCGCGTAGTAAGCTAAGTACGCGTTTACCTGTTGGACTTGGAGCCCTGAGGGTATATGTAGGAAGTGCAGAAAAAAAAATGTAATTGAGGACATACACAATGTCGAGTGTTCTCGTAGAGCGTTTATCTTTTTGAAAGAGAAAATAAACAAGAGTACTACTCGATAAAAGATGAAAAGCCAATCTTTTTCATCATACCCTTTAGGCATTTTATGTCTTTACTTTGTCACACATCCGGAAAAATCGACAGGAATAAAATGAAAATTTATCTGATAAGATAAGAGAGATAAGAGATAAGAGATTAGCATAGATATAGCAGCCGCCATATGCAATATAGGCACGATCGGTAAACCAACGTTATCAATGATATAACAACAACGGGTAAAATTAAAAACTATTAAGGCATAAGGTTTAGACCTAGTAAAATGTCTATGGGTAATTTATACAAGATGATAAAGCCAGGCCCCGGACACTGATAAAAATTAACATGGGGAAGATACTTATCACATAAAAACGCTACGGCCATAGTCTTAGCGCGTCGCAGTGTGACCGTTTTGGTAAAACTAAAAGTATAATATAATTTTTAAACGAAAGTCAAAACAAAAATTGATTTAATAACTAGATAAGTTGCTTATGAGGTTTTAATATGTATTAGCAATTAAAAAATTCAAGTTATAACTAATTTAAACAAATATATTTTATAAAATACAAACCGTAATATCAATATTTTAAATTGATAGTACTAAATAGATAAGAAAAGGCAAGGGTACGGTCATTGTTTTTGTTTACTTTAAGAGTGACCCTTCTGCTTTTATCTATTCTGTGATAAAGCATTATATTGATAACGTTTATTTACCGATTGTGCCTACGTTGAATAATATGGCGTCAGCTTCACTGATAACTCCAAGACGGCTATCTAGTATTAGTATACATCTATGGAGATTAGAGATAAGAGATAAGAGATAAAATGTCTCCCGTGGTTGCGGACTCGTACGCGAGCTGTTGTAAAGGTTTCTTTTAATTAATCTCGTGTGTGTGTTCTTTTGTTTGTGTTATCCCGTGAAACTTTTTCTCGAACCCAGCCTTAATCAAAAACAACCGACGTGAACACCAGCGAAGAACTTATAATTTATCTATTATTCATATAATCCCATTTGTACACCCTACTAACGCGTTTACTTAACCCCTTGGGCGTAGGTAGGTACACACATAACTTTCTTGAACAGTTCACTGTTAATTACGTTGCGTTTAATACGCGTTAAACGCAAATTAATGGGCCCGCACGTGTGTGTTGTATATATTATATTATAATAACTTTGATAGTAGTTTGCAGGTTGTGTTTACTTTAAAAAAACGTTAAAAGGGGAGAGCGATGACTTACTCGCCGCCGGATTATAAACTAAATAGCCGAAATGATTCAATCAAATGTATTGTTAATAGCAGCCCTGTTTGTTATTTGCATTTAGCCCGTATAACTGTCAGCAATATTGCCAACTTCGATACAAATCAATTTGAACGGTAAATAATATTATAACGTGACTGATATGACACAATAATTGCAATGGTCATATATTTTGCACCGGTCAAAAGACCAATTTTTCAAAACGGGTAATTTTGCACTTTCTAAACGGTCACACTGTGTACAGAATTTAATGATTTAATTTGTTACGGTTTAATATGGTCGTACCTAATTAGTAAAAATTTAATATCACATATTAAGTTATTCTTATCATGTTACACTATGCTGCCGTCTAGTTTATTGTTTTCAACTAAAGGTTGCAGGATTGCCGTCATTAAATTATAGTAGATTCGTATCAAAGTATATGCTAGTATTGGCAATGGCCTCTCCTTATATTATTAGAGTAGACTCTATGGTAATAACTGATTGAACACAAATTTTAATTATTGTCTTCAAAAACAGCCATAGGACGAAATTGACAACAAAAACAAGTATATACATTTATTGTAAAAATATTTGTATAAAATAAATTCACGCACACAAAGTGTGTTTACACTCCAAAGCTTCGACTTCATATATATTTGTTATAAAATCATAGTCCAGTCTAGTAGGGCATAGTTGTGTAAGGATCATCCTCCCTGATCAGTAATTGATAAGAGGATTGTTATCAATAGTTTGTTATCAGTGATAAGGATTTTTTAGCTAAAAAAAGCGTGATTGTGAGGGTTATCACCGATAAAAAAAATACTGATAACAATCATCTTACGTTTCACTAATGTACGGTTTATACTATAGACCGACATAAGAAAATAATAATCATTTGTTGAGAGCAAAACTACAGAATTTTCCTCGCAGCAGAAATTATTTTCGATTAGTAGTAATAATCTACTCGACGAATAAAATGTATATTTTAGTGAAATATAGTGGCTAGTGAATTTAAACGTTAAAATGATTTTTATATTTTGCATGTTTCAGATTAATTACAATTTAGCAACACATGTTGGTGCCGTTACAAAGGTGCGAAAAATGACGGCTGTGAATACTGTAAGTAACTATTTTACCATTGTATTTTTTTTTAGCGCACACGTCAGTTTTAAGACAAATGATTTGTATCATTTTTTACATAGGTAGATATAATATATGAAAAGAGATTCCTCATAAAATATTATAACCTACACCGGGCAAGTAGTGCAACATTGCCCGGTAAGTAATTGGACGTGGAAGTTTACGAAGCAATGGCTATATATATATATATGTTATAAATATTAATAGGTTCGCGCCACCATTCAAATCATATACCGTGAAACAAGAATGCGCGCATTTCATCCGGACATGTTGTGTTTTACATGTATACACATATATAAATAAACAAAAAAAAAAAGCTATACTAAGAAACTTTTGCGAATAAAAAAAAAAAAACATGGAAATAATCTAAGCAAATCGAAAATAGCGATACGTCCCTTCGGACATGACATATTTGTTTTATGTGTCCCTCCGAGGATGTGAGACGTTATTCTTAAGGGTAAAACACACACATACATATATATATATATATATATACCGCCTATACAATATAGAATGGGGTGAAAGCTTGCGCATTTTTTTATTTCTCTAATAGAATACCTGTTATCGATGTAATCGTGTGGCTATGGTAATTTTAATGTGTGGCAAAAAGTAGGACTAAAGTCGCTCTGCCAAGATAGAAGAAAATAACTATCGTGGTGATAAGACATCAAATGATAACATTATTTTGAAAAAATATTGTTTTTAAATTCGATAAAACATAATAAATTTATTATTATTAATTTGTTTATAAGTTGTATATAAGATTTAGCTACTTATTTGTATTAATTACCAAACAATGCCTAGAGCTGTTTTATTTGTTCAACAATTAAGACTTTTTTCCTCCTTCATGTGGTCATACTGGTTGGTTTTAGTCCTACTTTTTACTTCACTCTTGCATACAAGCTAATATATGGTAGTTCACCTGTTTATATTATTACTCTATGGTGTACCTACTCAAAGCTAGGTACACTAGGTTGCTATTTAAAAAAAACAATTTATCATTTAGACTCTCAGTCACAACAAAAATGCTAATATAGACCTACCACACTATATAGCCGTTGATCGAAAATATAGTATAGCTTGAAAATATTGTATCGAAAAAAAACATAAATCAATATAATACCGTTGGAAAGCTAATTAAAACCCACGCTGTTGACATATAATGGGTTGTTTTGATATACCTACATGTGTGTAATTAATGTTAATCACATGTTATTATGTATTGAATTTTATGGACCATATGTAAAAAAAAAAAATAGTTAATAAAAGCAATAAATCCTACATAAACAGCAAAAAAAAAAACACATTACATATTTTTTTTTATTCCAATAGCATATATTGTCATGATTAATACTAGGACTGTGCATTTACACTGAAAATATGTGTATATTTTTTTTCATTTTTTACTTAACCGACCACCATCGGTCGACCGTTTAAATATATACATATTTATATATATATCCTATAAGACACATTGTTTTATCTTGTCTTGAAAACGTACACTTTCTCCCACAAGTGCACAATTATGAACTAATTTCTTAAAGGAATATTTCGTTATTTACTCCAGCCGGGTTCGTTTAGGATTGAGGATGAAGATATGGGGGGGGGGGGAGAGAACGATATTTACAAATATTTATATATTTTATTTTTAATATCTTTGTCAGCTCACGACCGGTCTGGAAATTAGCAGCTCGTCAAATTCCTCTAAATTGAGTGTATATATATATATTATATTATTATACGGACGGGCCGGATGTCATCTTCGTTGGAAATAGGAAATGCCGGGCATTCTTTAGTCATTATTAAATATCTCAAAATCACCTTGGCGAGCAACAGCCATCACGCGTAGGGTTCCGCCGAGGGCGTACACACTGTACAAGCTATATATATATATTATATATTAATTTTTACAACAACTTCAATTTACTCTTATTATATAACATTGCATTTAAGCGAAACCCCTCCCTTCCCGTTCAAAAAACCACCCTCTCTCGACATATACCATCCCTGACCGTAGTGCCCCTCGCTCAAGTCCTACATAATACTATATTATTATACACCGCTATCAAATACAACATCAAACGTTCCTCGTGAGTACTGTACTCAAGGATACAAAGGTTATGTTCAATATAAATATTCCTATCAATTTAATTACAAACAATTTAGCGCACAAAGTTATGTTTACGGTCTAAGACATTTTAAATCGCATAATACAATTTTATATTTTGTGCTATTGTGAACTTTCCAGCACAAGTTATACTACAAAGTCTTAATTTTAGTTTAAATTTTTTTATTTTATTTTGTTTTTATACATACAATAAGTTATGTTGTTATGTTGCTATTGTACATAATATATAGGCGCTTGTATATGTATACCTTTAATGCGTTATATACACCTTAAAGTAAGAGAGAGAGAGAGAGAGACGGAAAAGAAAGTTATAGTATACAGGGTGATCCAACTAACGTAAGACACTCATTTTCTGTGGAAATATAAATACAATAAAAAAATCAAATCCTTATAAAATCATAACAAATGAACAAATAAATGAAAGTTCTAAATATTCTACGCTAACATATTTTTTATACCTTTTTTGTCTACAAACGTATGTAATTAAAATCATTTAAAAAAAAAAAACCGAAAATCTCCCTTATTGGCTTATATAAGGATTGGTGATGAAAATTCTGTTGGATCACCTTGTATAGGGTACATCGGTATAGGTCCTTAATACAGGTAGGTACACAATAACAACAACGTCTCCGGTAGTATATAGTTGACACTTAATTTACACAGGACAATTTCCTCCTCTACTTTTCTTCTGTGCTTGCTCGCGCGCCACGCTCCTTATTACCATAATAATAACATCGGCGGATGCCGGACGACGCGCCAAGCAATCTCTCTCTTCCGCCTCTTTCGTTGTCCCCAAAAACACCGCTCTCGGTATCTCTTTCCATTATAATAATAATAATATATTGTCGACGACGACGACGGCGAACAATGCACAAGTCGAAAATAACAAAATTACCTAATGCGAAACAATGGCGTACTCGTCGGGTGGAAACAATTGCGATTGATGGTAAGGGTTGGACACGTACCCCTCCGGGTTGATGGCCAGGGGAAGGGCGAGAGGGCGACAAAATTCTAGATTGCTTTTTTATCACTCCCTATACACGTAGGTATATTGTACACACACACACACACACACTGACACATGCAACGTCCATATTATAGCAGCACATCATGTCTGTAATAATGTTGAACAGTACAATTAATATAAACGAGGCGAATTAATGTTAAAAAGTAAAAATGTATTGTACTCTGCGATTAATGTAGTGGGAAAATAAAATATTATGCTTGAAACCGGCTGATAGTATACGCGGTTATTAATATTCACATTCGAGTTCCAATTTCGATAGATTTGTTGATTTTCGTTTTAAATATTCTCAAACAAGTTCTTCTCGTAATCAGCAATTTATAACAATTCAATTATAAACGATTACTTCATAGCGCGTAAAAAATCAAGTACGTTGCATTTAAAGAGAATGAAGAATAAATCCCTTTGCCTGTTTATCCTTTACTTTTCATTGTTTAGTCCAACGTCTACAAGGCGTAACCCGAATTCAAACCAGACTTTTCCAAAAAATACTTCAAGTTCAAATTAAAGATAACTTGTGTGACGTACAGAACTAAGCATATACCTTTTAAGCAAAATCAGTTACTTGATTGTATACTTTTTGAAATTACAACTCGGATAGGGCTTCAAATAACGTCGCATTGGCCAACAGTTGGCGTCCAACATGTATTTGAAAAACAAGTTAATATAAATAGAATTTACATCATCTTGGCTTGGTGCTCGTTCAGGTTATGTTAGGAGTTGAAAAAAACCCTGACAATTAGATCTATCTATCAAGTTGTACGATTACAATGAACAAAAAAAAGAAAAGGTGTATATATATATATATATATATATAACAAAAAGCAAATTGCCGACGGTTTTTTTTTAAATTTCCGAGCTTTTATATGCGACACGCATTGCAATAGAACTGTATATGAGGAACAGGGAAGCAAGGGGTTGTAGCGAGAAGGTCCAGGGTGGGCGGGCAGAAATCTCACCCCATGTGCTCCACAGAGCTTTTATCACGATCCACCGTAATAATAATAATAATAATAATATCGTGTTGTGTGTTCACAACGATATTCACGGTCGGCGGCCCTGAATAATTAATAATTACGGTTCGTCAGGCCGAAAAACGTTGTTTACCCTTAGGCTTACATTATACTTGGCCGTCATCGTCGCGTACACAATCGACTGCGGTGCTTGTGCAAAGGGTTTTATTACAATATATAGAAAATACAGCAAAACTGCAAAACTTGTATGGAAACATTTTATTGAGGCAGAGTGTGTGGGCGCATATGAATAATAATAATTCTTCATCCGAGTACCGTCCGTTATCCAAACACCTACACAACCCTTTTATGGTTTTGTGTTTTCCGAGGAAAAACGCTGTTGCTGACGATTTGCATAGGACTCGAGTTGGTTCGACAACTCGCCTCGGGATAAAGACTCGGGTATATTATCACAATGGTTTTCAGGGCTAGAAAATATTCTACCATCACAGACCTAGTAGAACGTACATATTCTGCTCATAGGTGCCGTTCGAAGAGGACTTTGGTGTGCTCAGCATTGTCCCCTCCCCTCTTTTGAAACTAACATTCCCAATACTGTTGGGAAATTGCGCCCTCGATTCTCGTTTAGGTTTGTACAAATAATACCTGATCGTTTTAGCAAGTACTGGGAAAATAAATTGCCTATGCGATATTCCTTATTCGACAGCGAGCATAGTAACGTTCTCAAAGTTGTGATAATATGATCCTACATATGTAATCGGGTTTTGTTTTTAGACATAGGGTTGTAAATGTACATTATGTGTACTACAATTTGCTGCAATTCGAGCAAGTAGGGCATCGTCGGTCAACGCCA